TGGCGCTAACTCGGTAACCCGTGGCCTGATTTTAACGAAACTTGTTTTATTCTGTTTCTATTCTCATTTCATTATAAATATGGCGCTATTGTGCGCCGTTTTTGCTGTATTTAATTACAGACAAGCACACAAACAAACAAACAATCTCAGAGTTTTAGTAGTATATAGATACCCTATAACAGTATTGTCTTTAATGCTAAACACTTGATGATAGCTAAGTAAAACTTATTATTTTATTGGCCTTGTTTTAATGATTTGTCTTGTATATGAATTATCTGGTTTTACAGAACCTGTGATAATAATGTATTATTTTTGTTGTTGTTTTTATGCATTATAGTTGGGGTGTTGACAAAATAGATGGAGACCAGACAAAGTATTGGGTAAGTAAGCATATGAAATCGTTTACATCTGAAACAAGAAATTAAATAACTGAAAAGTTCTTAAACATTAATAATTATGAAGTTGCTTATTAAGAAGACAAATTTTACATTGAACATGGAGAACAAGGGCTTATAAAATATACTGTGGACATTTTGCCTACGTAGCGATGGCCAAAAACGAAATACTTACCTTGGAAGTGTTTCACCTTTAAAGTACTTCTTTTCTGTTGCATATATTTGTTTTTCATTTGTATCAAATCGTGGCATTTTGCTCAGTTTAAGACTATTTACCTACTTTGCATCAATATTTAATTAAAGTGAATGCCAACTGTGATAAATCAGAATTTTTCCTAAGGATTTTTTTCAACTGCACAATTATATTTTAACTTCATCATGTTTAAATACATGACACTTTATTGCACCTCATATATACAGGCCTAGTAACAAATGATCCAAAAAATGAGGAATATTCTAGTAAGTACATTTATTTATCAACTCTGGAATGGAATTTCATATTTATCCACTTGAGCTTACGTATATAGGCGAGTTTTCAACTGCACAAATATTTTTACAGGTGTATTATTTTGATCAACTGCACACTTGTAAAACCCCTGTGATAATGTTAAAAGAAAATAGTATTTAAAGTTGGCACTAGATATATTTTGTCATAAAAACTGTCGTTTATGCTAGTGTCAAGGTCTATCTTTGAAGTGTTTAACTTTTTATATAGTGATACAAATATAAAACATGCAAAAAAGTAACATCACTGACTAATCTCATGCACATTCAACATATTAGTCAATGAAATCACAACCCTCTTAGTAGAGCGAATCGCATGGTTACACATTAGAAGTTACATTATTTAATAACATGTAAATATTTCTTTGTTATGGAACTTATAATGTTTTGCCTTATTGTTTAAAGAGTTGATTATAAGACTAACACTAAACTAATGTTTGTGATGTGAGATTATGTTTGCAGTTGAAATGATATTTTAATAATTCTTGCTGGAAACCCGTATGTAGTCTGATAAGTTTGATTTGTTTTGAATTTCGCGCAAAGTTAGCCGTCTGTCAGGTTTATATGTATGGATGGACAGGATTCTTTACAGTAAGTGTCTATGATACGTTGGCAATAAATTCCAACAATAAACAAACAGCGCATAGTCCACTTGTTTTAAAATGATATATTAAAAAACAAGTCAAACATGTATACAAATGTTCATTGTACTGTTAGTCATCACAGTTGTATCCAGAGCTTTAAATAACACAAGCATGCGAACTTAAACTTCATAAAAGTTGTTTTGGTTTAATACCACATTTTCCATAATTCAACTACGTAGATTTCAAAATTAATATTCATTTTTTACAAATCGGGAAGAAAAAACTCTTACATCAAATTATTATTTCGTTTACCAAAATGAAAATTTTTTATTATTAAGTTTGCGAACAAAAATACAAACAAACCGAAGAAAAAGAAAGAACATTGATGTCAAAAGAATATGCATCTTCATTCATCCTGATATTTGTGTGTGTGTGTGAAATCTACGTCTTTTAGTTTCAAAACTACATGTTGTGGTCTTTCTTTTATGTATTGCGTTATGTCGTTTTGTGAAAAATCTGAACATGATGAAGAAAAATGATATCATTTTCGGATTCAGCGTACAGGAATTACTGTAGAACATGTAAACATTTCAAGACAATAAAATCATCGCAGGCCTGTGTAAGCATCTCTTTTCATCAAAAGTCCTCACAGCTGGTTCAGTTAATTTAGAACGCAATTAACAAGGCAAATTATTTTTCTCTACTCTGTTATCACAATATAAACTGTGATATTTCACTTTTAAAACCGCCACTATACGCTCTTACCTATCTAACTGTATCTATCTTACTACGTCTTGCTTACTCAAACTAAATTCTGTTAACACTAGGAAGGAGTTGACTTGCTGCTTGGTCATCAGAGCTGGTGCATCTAGTATGCAAGTTAGCTTCTCCTCTTCCATGGCTATCTGTCGGTCACCCACCTTGAGTCCAACAAAGTCCAGTGCAGAATAACCAATGTAGCACTTAAATGTTTGGATAGTCAGACCTGTTGCCTTCACTCACCTGAATAGCTCTCTGAGTTTCTTCGGGTAGTCTTCCCATCTGGCTGTGTGGGTTAAAATGTCATCCACATAATGCTCAATGTTGGTGGTTTTATGCAACATCTTCCTTATTATGTAGTTGAATGTTGCTGCTGAGTTAACTAACCCAAATGCCATCCTCTTGAACTGGTAGCATCAGTCTGGTGTCTGTCTTTTCTTTAGACTCTGTCTCCATCAAGATCTGTCATAAACCATTATTGAGATCGATCTTGGAAAAGAACGTGGCACCATCTGGTTTCACTATGATTGCCTTTGGGTTGCTCATAAATTTGGAGTCGAGCCTCGTCACGAGGTTCAGCTTCCAGAAATCTATGCAGAAGCAGTTTGAGCTATCTCTCTTCTTCACAATTACCACTGATGAACAATTGGCTGAATTCGAAGGCTCAATGATTCCTGCTTCTAACACTGTCCCAACTTCTTGCTTTATCAGGTCTCTCATTGCATAAGGCATCTAGTAGAGCTTCACCTTGGCTGGGTCCCTGGTCGTGGTCTCGATCTTGTGTTGCACAAGGTCTGTCTTGCCTGGTCTACCTGCGAAGACATCTGCATACTGGCACAGTAGATCTTTCTTCTCCTTGCCAGTTAGTTCTTCACTGATTTTGATTGATGTCTTTGTGCATCTCATCTTCATCCAGCAGTCTGATGCCTAATAGGTCTTCATCTTCTATGACAAAATTGCTGTCTTTAAATTCTGCACCTATGACAGCCACACCTGCAATGTCCATCTGTGCTTCAATAGCTGCACCTGTTAGGTCTTCTTCCCTCTCAAAGTACCTCTTAAACAGATTAGCATGGTAGATTTTGGTCTCCCTGTCCACTTTCACATTACAGTTCATTCTGTTGCCCACTTTCTGCACTTCAAAAAGTCCTTTCCACTGCAGGATGAGTTTATTGTTGTCTGTGGGTAGCAGAACTGAGACCTCCTGTCTGACCTTGAAACGTTGATCTTTGGCCTTCTTTTGTATAGAAGTGATTCTGACTATATTGAGCTGCATGAAAACTTTCTTGAGCGAGCTGATAGGTTTTCTCTATTCAGTTTCTGAGGTCTAACACATACTGGTATGTGTTCTTCGCTTCTGGTTCTTTTTCTCCTGCCCACAGTTCTTTCAATATCTGCATCAGACCTTGTACTGTTCTTCCATACAGTACCTCAAAGAGTGAAAATCCTATACTTGCTTGTGGAACTTTTCGGTAAGGAAATAATACTGCCTGCAGGTACCTGTCCTAGTCACGTGGTCTCTCTTGACATATTTTCTTTAGCATGCTCTTTATGGCTCAACTGACTCTCACATTACATCTGGGGTTGTAAAGAGCTGTCTATTACTGATGAGTCTGCACACCTCTTGTATCATTTCTGAGGTAGACTAAGTCTCTCTGCCACTTGAGACTTCTTTTGGAAAGCCTACATCTGCAGAACACTTCCAGAAGGGCTTCTGCTACTCTGTCTCTATATTCGCAATGCTATGGCTTCTGGGTAAAGTGTCGCATAGTCGACACTGTCAGCATGTACCAGTTGCCCTTGTCAAATATAGGTGCTGGAGGTCCAGTCAACTTCATAGCTAGTCTGCTGATTGGCTCTTCTATGAGAGGTATCTCACCAAGTGGTACCTTGGATACCTTTCCTCTAGGTACTGTCCTTTGGCAAATGTCAAATGACCTGCACAATCTCGTCACATCTCTGATAACTCCCAGCTAATGGAAGTTGCTAGTGGTTCTGTCTGCCATCATCCTTGCTCCTAGGTGTCCTCCCACAATCGACTTGTTAGCCAACTTCATCATTTAAGTCCAGTATTTCATTGGTACTGTTGCGACAGCGGAGGTCACGTGACGCTAGTAACACGTCATATTCTCGAAGCTTCGTGAATCCTCGGGAGTTACTAGATTTCGGTATTCTTTTATATATAAGACGGTCAAGACGTGATGGCAACAATGTAATGAGTAATTGAACTGCGGACAGAGAGAGAGAGAGTATTGTTGAGTCGAGCACGTGAGACGTTCGTTGTGAATTATAGCGTTTGTTATAGCATGACTGTGGAAATTAAGTGTATTGCAAAGTTGTATTTAGAAAGAATAAACCAGTTTCATTTAAGAAAGGACTTGTATCGCTAGTTTCTTCGAAAAGAAATTATACGGAAAATTAACTAACGACCAGAGACGTAACAGTACTATGATTTAACTTCCCCAGTAGAACTGCCTTGATAGATTCACTACAATGCTTTTTTCCAGTCCTGTTACGTATTAGAATTTCAAATGGTCCGAAGCTGAGTTAAATGATATTTTAAATTTAGTAGTTAAATTGAACGTTGGATTTAATATTTAAATAAATGCCGGTATATACTCAGTTTGTGATGTTTGCTAACAAGATTGATAAACACCGTTTTCGTTTTTAACACAAATGCGTTTTAATATACACACAACAGTACAATTTACAATAACAATTAGTACAAATAGTTACTACAAACAATGATTTATAAACAAAAGTTTCACAAAATTACAAACAATATAAAGTTTTCTCTCTAGTCTGGAACTTCCTTGATATTTTATCGAGGGTTTACGATGAGCGAGTTGATGTAGATATGATTCGCTTAACGGGAACCTAGCTAGCTTTGTCTCTCACTGATCACACGACGATTTTTCCACGGTTGAAGTTAGGTAATGTTTTCATAAAAATACTAATGTCCGATGAGAATCAACTGAAGTTATACGAGTTGTAATGTTCGAATTTTGTAAATGCTCCTGGTCAAATATCTTAAGTTTTCCGTTTGATAAGCGTTATAAAAATCACAGTTATAGTTTTCGAAGTTTATAGCACACTGATTATAGCGACCTATTCTCTGGCGCGTCGCGTTGGTTATAT